CAGAGATGATCTTTTCTCTTTCTAGAAAGCGCAAGATTGCTTATCTCCCCTTGCCTGCCACTGCTTCCTTTCCTGCCTCTCTTCTATCTTTTACAACCCAAAGAACAAGCAGCTTCTAAGATAATTTGTCTGTTTTTTGATAAAAATATGGGAGCACATCTGCTCCTGAGTCAGCTTAGACATCTCATTTTTGTCATTAGAACTCGAGTATTAATTTGAACTTTTTCTCTTCTCACTTTCCTAATGATGTGACCTTCGGGTAATGGAAGTCCTCTACAGCTGTTTGCAGATTTCTTTCAACATTATCTTGGAGGTGGAAAAACTTCCCCAAATTTGCTTTCCAGGTCATTAATCTTTCCTCAAAATGCTCTGTAATAGGCACTGTTAGTTTGGGATTGAGACGAGCAAATAAAATAATTTTCAGGGAATTTTCCTGTGTATTACTCTCAGGGGGATGTGGAACGCTTGGCAAGGTTGGCTGATTCAAAGACCACGGTCTGAGCACTGGCAGGACCTAAACTATGGGTCTATGGACAACTGCTCTGCAAACAAACCTTTTACTGATGCTTTTAATTTTCTTCTTGAAGTACCCATCCCTTCAGAAAATCAATATCTTCTTTTAAAGATCAGATAACTTTTTATTTTTATCAGGATTAAATAAACTTGCTAATGCAGCTATTCCTGTATCTTAATAAAATTAAAATGAAAATGTGAGTTTACAGGCAATCTGTATCAGTGTTTAAAAAAAGAACTATTGGGTATTGGTTTGTTTTGTGAATTTGAAAATTATTTTGATGTTAAAATTAGTTGTTGTTAATTAAGCCAGTGAAATAATTTGGCTGGTTTGGTTTTGGATTTTTTCCCTCTTAAGTCTCCAATTTGTGGAAGTAAATTTTTTGGTTTAAGAAAAAAATAATTTTGAGTTGTTGTTTATAAACACTTCAAAAAAATGTAAGCATTGGATGAATTGAAAAAGATTAAAGAAATTTATGCAATCTCATAAAGAGTGGACAATGAGACCACTGAGAACATACATGGAGTGAGGCTGCTCAGCTGTGCTGTATCACAAGAACATGCAAAAAGGAATTACATAATTCATGGTCAAAACCTTCTAAAATTATGTGACTTTTAATCCTTGCCAATGAACCTGCTCTCTTGAGTACAATTTATTTTAGGGCAACCCAAGAGCAGGGGCAAACAGAATAGTTTTATTTTTTGCTTTTTGATATATAGAATAGTTGGCAAGCACTTGCTTGTGTGGTATTCATAATTTGGGTATCATATCATCCTCCCCTCCCTGTTCTTTCCATTACTGGGGAGGAAAACACAGAAAACAGTAAAAATAACACTTGATTAAATAAGACACAAGACAGTCCTTAGTGGCACTGCAGCCACTGGACTTTGTTCTAGTGAGTAACCATAATGTTCAGCTAAAATACATGGAAAAATATGTTTCACCTGGACATGAGTTGTCTTTGTCATGGAATGTTCAATGCTGCTGAGGTTTGACATGGACAAAGCTTGGCTGAACTCCAGGTCTGCTCCTGGTGTGAGAAGGGCCAAATTTTACACCCAGAGCCAGGAGAGCCCTGTCTGGGCCTGCTGCTCCAGCCACTCGTATTCCTCCAGGAAATGCTCTTCCCTTGGATTGGATGTACAGCAAAGGGGCCAGACTTTGGGACAAAACAAAGCCAAGCCCCTGTTCACTATTCCATCTTTGCTGGAGCCTCCTGTGACACCTCTGTGTCTTCCCCCATGTCTAGTTCGAAGTTTAAGCAGCACCTGCTGGTGAAAACAAAGGCTATGGAAGTGCTGAGCCATCCTGCTGGAAGAACAGGTTTCATCATTACTCTGAGCTCTGGGTAAGTTGTTCTAGAATTAAATAAGCTGGGTTTATTTACTATTTGCTCCACTGTTTGGAGTAATTTTGTCAAGGTGAGGACTGGCTCATTCCCAGCTCTGTGCGCTGAAGGCTGAGCATGACCCAACTGATCTCCACAAGCTTGGGAGCTTTCAGTGGCTAAACTTTGGAATTGCAAATTAATCCATTGACAGAATTAGTTAAGACTGTATCTTCCCACTATGGAAAATGGTTATTTTGTATAGTAGAAACTCCAATGTTACTGTTTGTGTTAATTTATTTTTGAAAAGAGGTAAAAGAAAACAGGGAATAAAACTGGAATGCCCTGAGTTGAGGAACACGTTCCACCACATACCATCTCAGGTAATTATGCACAAGGAAGTGTCACTTGTGTGTGATATCTGTAAGTGGAACAGTGTCTGCTTGAAATAGTGCTGCTGTCAGAGACAGCAAGGGAATTTCCCTAGTTTGGTACTGGGAAGGGAAGGATTAGACTGTAATGATTTCCCTTCTCTGTGATAACTGAATGCAATATAAATCAAGTACCTAGCAAAGGGTGCTTGAAAAGAAATGTTATCTTTCTTTCAGTTTAAAGCCAAAATGGACTTGGCAGCGCAGGGCCATGGTCAAGATCTGTGACCAGTATAATTTCCAAAATGTAAGAACCACCTACTCAACTTCAGAACATTGCCACAAAACAGGTAATTGAATTACATGATTTTTAGTAAAACTAAAGGAGGGGAGATTTAGATTAGATGGTAGGAGGAAATTGCTTCTGGTGAGGATGAGGAGACCCTGGCACAGGTTGCCCAGAGAAGCTGTGGCTGCCCCATCCCTGGCAGTGTCCAATGCAAGGTTGGATGGGGCTGGGAGTAGCCTGGGATAGTGGAAGGGGTCCCTGCCCATGGCAGAGGGTGGCACTGGATGGGCTTTAAGGCCCTCCCCCCCCCCCACCAGGCCATTCTATGATTTCACAATTTTTAATATATAAAGTATTTAACATTCATAAAAGTTCTGGAAGGTGGCCAAAGCAGCACAGTATGAGTATGTTAACATTTCTCCTCACAAAAATGGACCTAAATCATCTGTTAGATCCCACATTTTCCTGACAAAATAAAGCAAAATCAGTCGCCGCTACTTGAAAGATCCAGGTAAGAGGAATGGTGCTGACTGGAAATACCATTCCAGGCTAAGCAGCATATGGAAGCAACGGGAATTCTGCAATGTCCAGTCCTGCACAGTATTTATCTGGATAAGTAATATCACCATTTGCAATTCCAAAATATTTTATATAATAAGAAAATAATATTTTTTTATGGTAATGGATGTTCTTTTATTCCAGAAATAGGATGGATACTTCATCAAATGGTTTGTTGTCCCTGGGCCTCCTGTAGTGATAGGATGGGTGCGTGGTGCTGCAGTGGAGTTACAATAGCTGTACTATTTTAATGCGGAAGGATGTGGTTTGGGGTTGGTTAATACACATTGCTTGACATATTTACAAGTGTCAGATTGTGCTCTCTGTTTATAAGACTTGTGCCAAAAGGAAGGGGAGTAACATGGGCCAAAGTACTTCCCTGATTGCGGGTGCCAGGATGTAAGAAGCAGTTTCAAGGCTGTGATGCTTGGACTGAATACATTGCAATTGTAACTGAATGTGAATAATTTGTATTTGAAAACATTTTTCTTCACAGTATAGGTCCAGTCTTTGCAAGACAGAATTCCTGGTCGGTGTGGCAGGGAAGGGATTTGATGCATGACGGATTTGTCAGAGGAAACACACACACAGTAAGAACTCTGAGCTGGGTGGAAATTTTCGTTTGGCTTAAATTCTGTCCCTTACTCTATGTACGTAATTCAGGTAAATGTGATGCCTGTTTGTGGGAGAGATTTGTTACTATGAGGTAAATCCAAACAAACTCCAGTCAGCCATTGCAAGAGATGCTAATCTTAATTTATTGCCAAGAAAAGTAAATTGCAAAAAAGACGCTTAAATGAGATTAAAATCATGATAAGGAAAGCTGCCATTGAGTACAGAGTGAGAACTTTTTCCACTGAATCACATCATTGAAAATGTGCTGCATTTCTGTATTAGAGCTTAAGCTGAAATGCTCAATATCTTCAATATTGTTAAGCACAATATTTGCTTTCTACCATCTGTGGAACTCTTCAGTCAGGGAGAAACTCAGGCAGGTGAGCCTAAATCTGCTCCCACTGGTTCAAATCAACAGGTCATTACAAACAGTAAAAACGTTATTTGTGATGAATTATCTCTTTTAAACCAAGTATCTTCTTCTTGCATAGTACTGACTTAAGAGTTGGACTCCATGATCCTTGCGGGCCCCTTGCAACTCAGAATAATCTGTGGCTCTTCTCCAGACCGTGATTATTTTGGGAAAGAATTTAATTTGGTTATCTAACTCAGGTGTTTTCGAGCTCCCTTTATAAAAAACTAATGCCAGCTAACATCTTCAAAGCTGTTTCAGATGAGCACGGGGTGGCTCAAGGGCTGTGCAGAGTGTAGGGTTAAACTCGGCTAGGAAGGGGAGCTCGGCGTGCCCTGATGCAGCAGTGACCACGAACAAGTTTTGAGGCCTTTTTAAAATTACTTTGAGCACTCTCGGGTGCTGAGGAAACCCTTCGGTGAACCGCGGAATGCTCGGGATGGTGATTCCCCCGTGACTGGCATCCCGAGCGACTCCACGGATGGGACACAGTTCCCGTGCCACAGAATATCCCGAGGTGGAAGGGACCCACCAGGATCATCCAGTCCAGCTCCTGGCTCTGCCAGGGCCACCCCAGAGTCCCACTCTGTGCGTTCCTGAGAGCGTTGTCCCACTGCACCTGGAGCTCTGGCAACCTGGGAGCCGTGCCTGCTGCCTGGGGAGCCTGGGCAGTGCCTGAAGAAAACCTTTCCCAAATGTCTGGGTAGCACGTGTGTTCCTTTTGCTTTTCCTCGACGGTTAATAAGGGAATTCTGCCTGGTTCAGAGACAGTAAATGGTAATTTTCCTTATCCCGTTCTTTATTTATTTAGGGAAAAAAGAAAAAAGCCCTTTTAGTAAACTTGTAGTATCACCACGTGAAACCCTGTTTCACCTTTTCTAGTAAGACACTGGTTTTCTTATGTCCTGCGGTACTTTGTGACTTTCAAGGGGTCCCCGGGGAGCCCGTTCAGTGCCCGTCCACCTCTGCGGGGAGAGCCTGGCGCTACTGCCTCCCCTCCCCGGCACAGCCCCGCCGGCTCCCGGGCCGCTGTCTGTCTGTCCACCATCCCTGTCTGTCTGTCAGTCTGCCCGCTCTCCCTGGCTGCTGGCTGTCTGTCTGTCCACCATCCCTGGCTGTCTGTCAGTCTGCCCGCTCTCCCTGGTCGCTGTCTGTCTGTCCGCGCTCCCTGGCCGCTGTCTGTCTGTCTGTCCGCGCTCCTTTTCTGTCTGTCCGTCCGTACTCCCTGGCCTCTGTCTGTCTGTCCGTCCGCCATCCCTGTCTGTCAGTCTGCCCGCTCTCCCTGGTCGCTGTCTGTCTGTCCGCGCTCCCTGGCCGCTGGCTGTCTGTCCGTCCGCCATCCCTGTCTGTCTGTCCGCGCTCCCTGGCCGCTGTCTGTCCGTTCCGCCATCCCTGTCTGTCTGTCTGTCCGCGCTCCCTGGCCGCTGTCTGTCCGTCCGCCATCCCTGTCTGTCTGTCAGTCTGCCCGCTCTCCCTGGCCGCTGTCAGTCTGCCCGCTCTCCCTGGCTGCTGGCTGTCTGTCCGTCCGCCATCCCTGTCTGTCTGTCTGTCCGCGCTCCCGCTCCGAGGGTCGGGACCCGCGCCCGGGACCCCCCACGGCCGCGCCGCTCCCGAGCGCCCCCAGCGGGCGGCGGGCGCAGCGCAGCGGCGGCGGGAGGCGCCCCGGCGCCGGGGCCCCGCCCCCGGGTCCGCATCACGTGGTGCGGCGCGGACCAATGGCGCGGCGCGGTGCGGGCCCGGGCGCCATTGCTGTCAGAGCGCAGGAGGCAGAGCGGGCGCGGAGCTGCGGCCGCTGCGGGCACGGCCGGCACAGCGCGGGCGGACAGCGCTCCCTGCCCGGGCCGGGCCGCGCCCGCACCGCCGCCACCCCGTGGGCAGCGCCGACGAGGCGGCGGCGCCGGCAGCAGGAGCGGGAGGAGGAAAACACCATCCACGCACAGCCAGCGGCGGCAGCAGCGAGGGGCGGCCGGGCGGGGCGGGGAGGGGACACAGCGCCCCCCGCCCGCCGACGCCTCCGCACGGGGCCGGGACCGGGCCCCCCCCTCGCCTCGCCCGCCCCGCGTCCCGCACGGACCCGCCGCCCTCCGCGCGACCCCCGACCGGGGGGGGCCGCACCTGGACGCGGAAGGGCGGCCCCGGGCCCCCCCTTCCTCCTCTTCTTCTCCCGGCCTGGAGGAGCGGGGGACGCGTCCCCCCCGCCTGCACCGGAGAAGGGCCTCCCGGCTCGAGGATTATCGGCGCGGGGGCGGGTAGCGAGGAGCAGCGCGCCCGCCCCGGCCTCGGCGCGTCCCCTCCCGGCCGCGGGGCCCCGCGGGGCCGAGGGGCCGGAGCGCGGCGGCCGCCCCGGGCAGTGACGGGGGTCGCCCCGGGGGCCGCCCGCCTTGCCCCTCGCCCCCCGGCCGTCCCCCCAGACATGCCCCGCCGTGGCGGCCCGGCTCGCCGAGGATCATGACTGCGGCAGCGAACTGGGTGGCGAACGGGGCCAGCCTGGAGGACTGTCACTCCAACCTCTTCTCGCTGGTGAGTGAGTGAGCGGGCGGTGGGCGGGTGGGCGCCCGGGGGTGGCTCCGCGCCGGGTTTGCCGGTCGGGAGCAGCTGCCGGGGGTTTATAGGCAGGGCCCGGGGCTGCTCCTGCGCTGGCCCCTCCCCCGGCCCGGTCCCCGTGTTTATTTTGCTCTTTAGCGTGGTTTGCTGCGGGTCCGTGTATCGCGCTCGCAGCTGGAGAGCGGGGAGGGGACGGCTCTGTGTCCCCTGCACGACCATCTTCCCTGGGTAAACAGGCTCCTCTCCCCGCCTCCCTTGGCACTCCGTGCCCTGTGCGCTTTGTGCCACCGAACCGGGGGGTTTTCTCTCCTCTCACAATGACAAACGCCATTTCAGCAGCAGCGAACGCTCATGTAGTGTGATCGGCTGTCGGACTTAGCTCTGGGCTCCTGTGACGGCGTGTCAGCTGCTGTTACAGCCTGCTCTCCTCTTTGCACACATCGTGCTCGGGGGCAAGAGGTTAAAAAAAAAAAAAGCAAAACCTTTTAATTTTTTCCTCTGTGAAGAACAACAGCGGCTGACAGTAGTGTGCCGGATTGTTTGCATAGATGCTGTCTGCCCATCTCACTGGGAACTTCCGACGTGGATTGCGTGGTTTAGTGTTGCAGGAATCATGCTATCAGTTTTGGCTGGCTTATAGATCGGCAATTTAAATTTAAAATGCGAAAACAATTTGTGTGTAATGGCAAAGTCATTCGGTAACACTTCGCTTTATTTTACCTGGCATGCACAGGAACATTATCCCTTCTGGCTGGGCAACAGCTGAGTGAGTGAGAGGGCTGCTGGATCGTCGGGAGCCTTCCAGTGCTTCAGGGATAATGTCGGAGGGGAGGAGGGACTTGTTCGGTGCGCGGTGTGGTGGAGTTAAAACCTTGTGATGCAACTTTGGGGGTAGCATGTGTGAAAGGGTTGTGGTGAGTGCCCCCTCCCCGCAGCAGAGCTCTGCCAGAATTGGAGGTGGGTTCATATGTTCTTCTTCTGATAGAACGGAAGAGATTGTTTTTAGCTCCCTTATGAAAATAAGGAGAGAGAAAAAAAAGGAAATTACTTAGAAACGCAAATGATCAAGCTCTTTGTTTTATGCTTTTTAACGTTATTGTAGTATATTTGTTATTTTGTCTCAGGCTTTGGTTTTTTTAAAATCTACATATGTATATTTTGCTTGTACCTCTTAAGAATCTGCAACAAGAACTGTAGTCTTCCACTGCTAGAAAACTGCTCCAAGAGCTTGTTCTGTAAGAATTATACATTTCTTACTCTGGCTTTTTATTGAACTGTTACGTTATGTAAGTTTGTATCCGTGCTTCTGTTTGAAGGCATGTAGTAATATTTATAAATATGTAGCAGTGCTCTGTGTATCGAGATGCAGGAAAGGTGATTTGGGGGATTGTTATGGTGATTTTGACTACGCTGCTCTTAGCCAGGGAGGAAAATAAATCGGGAAGCATGAAGGGAACAATCGTATCTGATTGTAGAAGGGAGGCAGTGGAGGATTTGCTCCTCACAGAGTTGTGAAGTCCCCGTTCATTAATGCAGACTGGAGTGTGTGTTTGGAGAGGCGGAACTTCTCCTGCAGTTGCAATCTGCAAATCTGTCACTGGTAAAAATAATTGTTGGCGTGCAATTAGCATAAATTATAAAGTGAAGCTATTTCATAGTTATTGTGGTTTGGTTGCTTTTTTTCTCCCACCTGACTAGGCTAGGGAAATGTTCAATTTTAAATGGGTGTGTAATATCACTGAAGTAAGTTAAACGAAATTCTTTTGCAATTGGCTTTAATAATAATGAGTTTAATGTGCAACCCTTTAATCTCCCATGTAATTTTGTGGGAGGTATCTGTGCCTTAATGTGGTGCTGTGTATGAAACTGTTTTTATTGTATTCTGGCTCTACCAGAAAAAAAAAAAGGAATAAAGTAGTAGTGTTTTTAAAATACAACCTATGTGAAAACTATTAGGAAGATTTATTTTATATTGTGTTAGTGTTTTTTTGGATTTATGTAGCAGAGAAAGATTGAAAGCGGAAACACTAACTGAAAATATGTAGCCAGCACCACTGACCCTTTAACCTCAGATTGTCATATTCATTTCAAAATTTATGAAGTGTTAAAACTACAGTAGTGTGGATTAGTAGTTAGAGAAACTTTTGCTAATCATTTACTTTTTCAGGGTAACATAACAAAATCTAAATGACTAACTGTTGGGAATCCATTCATTCTTTAACAGCGAGGTAGATTAGAAATATTTTGAAAATTGATTCTGCTATTAGAAGTTGGGGGTTTTTCAACTGCAGGCTTTGTTTTGTGTGTGAATCACAAAGTAATGTTCGTGACTGGAGAATTACAGTTCTGAAATAATTATAGTCTATCGTGATACTGTTTGTTCATGGTTAAATAATATTTCTTGCCAAGACATTTGTTCTGTGGAAGCAGGAATGCTGTCTCCTTGCCCTGGAGAAGCCAGAGCTCTGTGTCAGCTCTGTCTGCTTGCTGTGGATTTGGGTTTGTTTAACGATTCATGATTTCCATTTTTCTGTCAGCTGTAGACACGCTAGAGAGGTTAGGAGCCTTTGCTGCTTCTGAATCTTTTGATGGGAAGTGTTTTCTTTTAGTTACTGATTCTCTTTTATCAGTGATGTCCAGAAACTGGAAGCCTTCAGTGATCTGGGCTCTGAATGTGTCACCTGAGGGGAGGGCACGGTCTGAAGTGGAGTTTTTAAAGTTTCCTTTGAGGGTGCAGGTGCTGGGGATGGTGCTGGGCTGGTAGAGCTGGGTTCCCTGGGATTGCAGCGCTTGGCAGCACCAAGTGTGTGTGGTGTTCTCTGGCAGCGCGGGGATCCAGCGCCGCTCTGGAAAATGGGTTAATACCGGTGTGCTCTGGCAGGCAAAAACCCCAGCCAGCCTGCACAGACATCCCAGTCCTGCTCCAAGTGTGGAGCCTTTTCCCAGTGAGGTGATGGAACGGCCACTTTGCATCTTTGTTATCAGAGTACTCCTCAAATAATAACTTGTTTAATCTGCTGAGTATAATAGCCTTGTTCATTAAAAATACACTTTCTGTCTGAATTTGCTGTTCCTAACACAGCAGTAGGAAAAATGATATTTATCCTCAGTCTGTTTTTGCTGTAGTCAAAATGTCAGTTGCTGCTTCTGAAAAGAATGTGTGTTTTGATAAACAGTATTTAATAAGCCATTGTATGGACCAGTTTATTTAAATACTAATTAAGAGCTGTCTGATAACTATTTAGAGACAAAATGTTCTGAGGTAATATGCTTTGTATTAAAACTTCAGCCTCAGCTGGCAAGCAGTCTTCCTGTGAATAATCTTTAATCATAAAAGTAGTCTTACTGAAATTAATTTGACTTTTCCTGTGAGTAAGGTTACTCATATGACATCAAGGGCTTTCATGAAGATGTTTCCTCGACTATCTAGGCTTTGGTGCCATGGTGGATCCAAAGGCACAACTCAGTCTTGAGAAATCGGAGTGAAGTTGCATAACATTGGAT